ATATATGAGAGTCATGTTATATAGGAATAGGGTTAAGAATTACTGATCATCAAAGTTGAACGGGAACCAGACTATACCCATGGGAAATTACCTTTTATTCTTATTCTTTTTAGCTGAGTGTCTGCCTGTGGACCTTTGCTGAGTTTGATAGATATGGAGAGCAGATTCCTATCATTGAGTTCATGAAGCTCAACGAAACCATACCACCATTTATATCAATGATGTGTAAGAAATATTTCAAGATAAAATAGGAGTAGTAAAAGATCACAGAATGGTATTTATGATAATCTTTAATAAATCAATTTTAGTTCTGACATGTTCTTTTCCATGCATCTTTTTTCTTGGTTCATTTTTGAGGAAATTAAAATTTCAGATTTATCAGATTTTTCAGATTTAATTGGTGGGGTTTCCACAAAGCAATTATCAGTACTTTTCAGAATCTCATTATGATAAAATAATTCAAAATTTGAAAGAAAAAGGCTAAAAAGATTTGTTGTGAAAATAGTAAAGATTTATATCGTTTTTTGTATTTCATTTTTCACCAGCAAACTAATATCTATTATTATATTATTATTACTTATTATTACTTATTATTACTTAATCTTATAAAAGGAAAAAAGGAAAAATCAAATCAGTTTAGTTTTAACTGATTAAGTCTCTGCAAACTTTTTTTTTCAATTTGCATTCACAGCATTGAAACAGGGGCGTAGTGGAGGATTAGCCTAGGGGGTGTAAATTTTTTTTGTGAACCCCCTTAACGGTTGATGTGCACCCCCCCCCCTAAAAAAAACAATATTATTATTTCTTTGAGTATATTTTATATGATAAATTATATCAATATCATTCATATTATGACTAGATTACACTGGAGGCAATATTATTAAAGTTTTTTAAAACTCTGCGTCAAATTCCATTTTAAAGGGAGTGTTCGCGAAAAATTAAAGGGGTTATAGGCTTAATGCGATAAAAAAGCGCTTTTGATCACTACTAATCTTTCTCCTATCTGTTGCGTCTAAAAAGAGAAAATTGTTAAAGACGTCTTAAACCGAATAACTTAGCGCCCATACATACAAATTCAGAAAATTGCAACATACGACTTAGACCGTAAAAAAATCAATTTAATTTCAAACAAATCATTCAGATATTACAACCTATAGTCATCAATTATCTTTTGCCACATTTGTATATAGTTTATATTTTATAATATAAAATTTTCTAAATTTGTATGGGCGCTAAGTTATTCGGTATGAGATTTTCTCCTTATAGACGCAACTGATAGAAGTAAGATTAGTAGCGATCAAAAGCGCTTTTTTATCGCATTAACGCATTAAACCTAAACCCCCTTTCATTTTTCGCGAACACTCCCTTTAAATTAATCCCCGCGAAAGAAATTTAGTAAGTAAGATATAGGTACAAGCAAAGACTTTGGGTACAAGAAAGAATTTGAGAAATTATCATAAAATGGACAAATTGTGACATTGTCAATTGATAAGAAAAGAAAAAAATCTGAATATATATGTAAGTTTAATATATTAGAGCCTGTCCTTTGCTCTAGGGGGGCCCAAGGGGATGCACGTCTAGGGGTGGACAGGGGTACCAGGCCCCCCCACTACGCCACTGCATTGAAATATCAGAAAATATACAAGAATATTACGACAATAACTTAATCATTCAAATTTTTTTACTTTCTTTAATTAAAAATTCTTAATTTCAAAATCATTCAAATTTGCATTCACAGCATTGAAATATCAGGAAATTTACAAGAACATTACGATATAACTTAATTTTTTTACTTTCTTTAATTAAAAATTTTACAACTTCTGTACGTAGATAGATCTGATGGAGCAAATAGTCCTAGAATCGGCCTGGATGGCATTGCAACCTTTTACATGCAGGTATAGTTTAGATACTTTTTTATTCTTCCTTAATCCTGGGTAAAAATTAACCGGATCTAAGTCTTTGCCTCTCTAATTTTCTAATCCCTATATCTTATTAAACTGATTTTGATTTCAAATTTCAACATTTGACTTTACAGAATTCTTTTTCAAATCAAGAGAAAAAATAAAATCCTTCTTTTGCAATGTCAGAATTAATTCTTACATTTTATTGTCTTTTTAAGATTGACAAAGATCTTTAAAACAATAAATTTCTTATCAGTTTTTATTTTTTCCTTACTAGTCGGCACTTGCAAATCCCAACCAATCAGATGAGCCATGGCTCTAATGGCCTACATCTGTTCTTTTGACACATAAGAAAAAACTCTTTCACAAAAAGAATACATTGACATTTTACAAAAAATGTGCTATTTGTAGGGATACCCTGTGCTAGAAAGAAAATGGCTGCACTTGTGTGCATCTATCGATATTGAGAAAGATGAAGTCATTTTGTACTTGAACGGAAAATCTGATTTTAAATCACAAACTCCAACAAAGTAATTTCTTTTTACAAACATTTAATTTTGGTTCTAATTTTAAGTGGTTTTTATGACATGCAAATACAATTTTTTGTCAATTCTTATTATAAAATCAAAGCATCCGCGTTTTAACCCTATTTATCCTGGCGAGGGGGGGGGGGTCAATTTGACCCCCCTTAATGTTTTTTTTGCGATAACTCAAAAAGTATTTGACTTTTCTAACTAACACATGCCCATCACTTAAGGCGGAAAGCTGGGCTTTTATGCTTACTGCCTGAGTCCTCAGGTATACTGCCTAAATGCCTTATTTTACCTATTCCAGACTAAAAATATATTTAGAATATATATTACTAAAAATATATTTCCAGTCATCGGATTTCAACATTTTATAGCTCTTTGGAAAGCCTATAACAAAAACAACCAAATCGCACAATTCTCGCAAAGAAATTTTGTACAGATTTTGAACAGACGCCTTTAAAGAGAATTTGCTCATTTTCAGTTTTTCTTTAATACACATTTAGCTTTTAGAAATTTTGGAAATGTTTTTGCACCTTTTAACTCAACGCGCTAAGTCAAGGGCTTTTCAAAAATGTATAATTTGTTGAAATTTGCACATTTTTTGCACATAGGGAACAAGTCATGAAACCAGACGTCAGGATAAATAGGATTAAGAAGAATATTGTGATAAAACCGATTATCCCTCCCTGATAGTAATAACTGAATTCTCTGTGGGGGTTTGTTGTGTGTNTAATTTTTTATTATTGTACACAACCCATAAAAAATGCAATATTTTTGCTGTATTTTTGTTGAATCTTATTAAATTAGATTAATATTTTTTTTGTAATGTTGTTTCGTTGTAAATACCAAAGTATTGATCACAATTACTATACTTTCTTTATTTTAGATCTATTAAAAGCAAAATCTCCAAAAATACTGAAGTACCAATGGTTATCCGACTTGGTAAGTTACTTTCTTAATTAAAAGATGCCGTTGAGAATTACAGCAAACTCTTTTTAAAAATATAGAAGTTCATTGGAGTTTATCTTTTTCTCTTTTCCTTGTGTTGCTTCTCTGTATGGTTTCCAGCGAACGAAACATTTCGCGAAAAGTGCGAAAATTTTCGGTCGCATTTCGCAAACTTTTTCGTGAAATGGAAAATTGCGAAAATTTTGTGAAAACCATGAGTTTTATAGCTGCAACAATTAATTGCTCGAAAGAACTTGTGGAATTCTCTGCTCTGATAGCTCATATTTGAAGTTTTATTATGTCATATAAATAATTTCTCTTCCTTTACTTTAAAAATGTTAGCATTTTGCATTTGTTTTTAAAAATTCTGTATTCTTCGTGAAAATTTCGTTTTTTATAATTTCTATTTTTTCCGCGAAATTTTTGCATTTTTCGGGAACGAACGAAATGCGAAAATGAAGCGAAATGGTCGCAAAAAAAAAAATTCCACGAAATAGGCGAAATTTTCTCGAAATGAATTTGCCTTTTCTCTGGAAACCCTACTTCTCTGTCATAAAATTGTTAAACAACTATAAACAGGATCACTAAAAGATTCCTTATGCAAACCGTTCAATGTGAAACTCCGGGTACTAAATTTAAAGAGAGTGTTTGCAAAAATGAAAGGGAATATTCTATGAACTATATAGAAGATAAAGTCTTTAATTAGACCAGTTTTCTTTCTATTTCTATTTATTTTACGTTTAAATTTCCTAAAGTAAAAGTATTATTCTTAAAACTATCCTGATACTAAATTTTTAGGGCATTATTATTTTGACACGAAGCCCTTGATTGGTAAACTGGCTGAGGTCAATGTTTGGGACAGAATACTTAGGTTACCAAATTATTAAAGTTATGCTTTAATGGCGCTTCGCGCCCTTATTTCTAGTAATCCTTATGTTTTTGGTGGTTGATGTAACTGCTTTCTTTTGTTGATTGTTGAAAAATAATTTTTGGATGTATAAACAGACAGACCAGCCAAGAAAAAAAAACAGATGAGCTCAATGAAGCTACAGTGATAACCAGAAAACTATGGAATAGGAATTAAAACATACATATACATACGAAATTTTAACAGAACTGAAGTGTATTTGATGAGGTTACAAAGCAAATAATTTTACTATACACATATTAAATCACAAATTTAGTAAAATGGGTCTGTTGACACTACACAATTGGTGTGTTTCATGCTCATTGGACATTTTAAAGTTTTATTACTTGATATTAAAAGTTATCTTTCTATATCTGAGTTTTCTGGTTTTTCACTGTAAATTGAAAAGATTAAAAATTAAAAATTCTTATTTCAGTGTCGAGGAACTAGCCAATTATTCTAACTGTATTCCTTACAAAATTTCTGGGAATATTGTGAATGAGGAAACAATATGGACAATTACAGGTATTTTTTACAAGATTTAAAAATAGGTTCATAGTGCCAATCATCAAGATTTTTTTCTCTTCAAATTTTAGTTTTTTTTCTCAATTCTCTGCTTGTTTTCAGCTGTATACATCCTCCCCTGCCTTTTTCAACTGTATACATTCTTCCCTGCCTTTTTTCAACTGTATACATCATTCTCTGCCGTTTTTCAGCTGTATACATCATTCTCTGCCTTTTTCAACTGTATACATCCTTCCCTACCTTCTTTCAACTGTATACATCATTCTCTGCCGTTATTCAGCTGTATACATCCTTCCCTGCCTTTGTTTCAGCTGTATACATCCTTCCATGCCTTTTTTCAGCTGTATACATCTTTCCATGCCTTTATTTCAGCTGTATACATCCTTCCCTGCATTTTTTCAGCTGTATACACCCTTCCCTGCCTTTTTTCAGCTGTATACACCCTTCCCTACCTTTATTTCAGCTGTATACATCCTTCCCTGCCTTTGTTTCAGCTGTATACACCCTTTCCTACCTTTATTTCAACTGTGTACATCATTCTCTGCCTTTTTTCAGCTGTATACATCCTTCCCTGCCTTTGTTTTAGCTGTATACATCATTCTCTGCCTTTTTTCAACTGTATACATCCTTCTCTGCCTTTATTTCAGCTGTATACATCCTTCCCTGCCTTTTTTCAACTGTATACACCCTTTCCTGCCTTTTTTCAGCTGTATACATCATTCTCTGCCTTTTTTCAACTGTATACACCCTTCCCTGCCTTTATTTCAGCTGTATACATCCTTCCCTGCCTTTATTTCAGCTGTATACATCCTTCCCTGCCTTTATTTCAACTGTATACATCATTCTCTGCCTTTTTTCAGCTGTATAAATCATTCTCTGCCTTTATTCAGCTGTATACATCCTTCTCTGCCTTTATTTCAGCTGCATACATCCTTTCCTGCCTTTATTTCAGCTGTATGCATCCTTCCCTGCCTTTATTTCAGCTGTATACATCCTTCCCTACCTTTATTTCAGCTGTATACATTCTTCTCTGCCTTTATTTCAGCTGTATACATCCTTCCCTGCCTTTTTTTCAGCTGTATACATCCTTTGTAAAACCTACTTAAGGATGTATACAGCTAAAAAAAGACAGGGAAGGATGTATACAACTGAAAAAAGGCAGGGAAGGATGTATACAGCTGAAAAAAGCAGGGAAGAACTGCCATTAAAAACTCTTTGCTGAAACACCAGGAATGACTCCAACACTTTAGCTCAGACAAAGGTTAAAAGGGTAATGATATGTGAATTTGACAGATAAGTCTTCAATTGGAGAGTGACTTGAAGTTAGGTGGACAGATATTTAAAATTGAATTTCAAATGTTGAAATTTTCTAGTAAATAAAGAAATGGCAGAAATACTTGAAACACTTATCATTAGCTCCGACATGTACAAATCCTGAATCACCAATTCAGGATATGTACTCTAAGGGCGTGAAATTTTTTTTTAAACAATTTTACAGAAGCAAAAAAGTTTTCTACTAGGAATATTAAGACATGTTTATAAAATATACTTCTCGTAGAAATCAAAAATGTGGCCCTCAAAAGGGGGTTAATATTCCCTAGTATAAGTGAAAATGAAAATTTTGAAATACTTATTGAGTTGGGTATCATTGGAACTGAATTGAATTTCAGAATTTAAATCGATTTACAGAATCAAAAAATATAGAAATTTGACTGAGTAAGGTCAAAAAAGACATTTTTTTAGTACTATAATGAAATTCGTTCAAAAAAATCTATTTTTGACCATAACTTTTAGTATTTTTCAATTCTGTAAATTGTTTTGAACTCCGGTTTTCAAGCTGGTTCAATGGATACCCATATTATTAAGATTGTCAAACACTAGTGATTTTGTTATCATTAAACCCCATTTGAGGGCACATTTTCCAATTTTGTGAAACAAGTATTTTATAAACTTGCCTTAGAATTCCAAGTGGAATACTATTTTGCTTCTGTAAAATGATTTTAGAAAAGTTTCACTCAATTTCACACCCTGTGGCTGAATCATTTCTAAACCAGGTCAATTCGTTAACAATATCTTGATAAACTTATCCATTTTTTCCTTAAGGAACATTAATCCAAGAAGAACTGATCCCGAAGTCTGTTATTGAATGCTCCCTGGAGAACAAGATAAAAACTGTTTTTGTCACAATCCCGTACCAGAACTTTCAGGTACAGTTGGGATTTAGTTTTGTTTTAAAACATTTACCCGGGTAGAATCTTAGAGTCTGAAACCTAGTCTTAGACGCCGGGCCGACCTCCTCAGACCCTCTGTTTTTGGAAAAAAA